TATATATATATAATATATATATATATATATATATATATATATAATACGTGTATATATATATATATATATATATATATATATATAAATATATATATACGTGTAATATATAATATATATTTATTTATATATATATACTTAAAATTATAAATAAAAAATAAATATTATACGTGTAAAATATAAATATATAAATATATATAAATAAAATATATAAAATTAAAAAATTTATATAAAAATATAATATATACGTATAATATATATAAATTATATATCCCCGTAAAAAATTAAAAATTATATACACGTAAAAATATAAAACACGTATTAAAAATTTAAAATAATTTATATTTATAATATACACTATAAAATAAATATCACGTAATAATATATACCTATTAAAAACACGTATATATAATATATAAGAAAAAAACAAAAATAAAAATTTTATATATAAACGTAAAATAATATAAATAAAACGTATATATAAAAAACCCCGAAAAATTTTAATAAAATTATTAAATATAAAATAAAAAAATTAAAATATATATAAAATAATTTTATAAATATTATATATATTAAATATCAAAAAAAATTTTTTTATAATATATATATAATATATATATATATATAAATAAATAATATATAAAATATACATGTCATGCCGAATATAGAAACTGGTACTTAGCAGAACTCATTTAAAATTAAGTCCTTCTAAAATTTCTCTTACGTTAAAGATATATTTTTTCATTAATGTAATGTAAAAATTATAATTTTGCATCAAAAATCTTAGAAAACTTACCAACCTTATTATATAAAGCAATTAATTTTATAACCTAACCAACTAAATATATTTAGATTGTTTACACATAATTTAATACTAAACAAACACAGTGAAATATATTTTTTTCGTTAGGTTCAGAATGATTTTGGCGAAATTATTGCATACACAAATTTTCGCTTGTCTTATATGGCAAGATGAGCGTTGCTGTTTAAGCCAAGATGGCAAGTTCTGCCTATTCGGCACGACATATATACGTATAATATACATATATCCTAGGTAGTAGGTTGGTAGACAGCAACCGCCCAGGGAGGTACTACCGTCCTACCAAGCGAGTGTAAAACGACAGCCTGTAATTGTTTTACATGATGGTAGGATTGCTGGTGTCCTTTTTTCTGTCTCATGAACATGCAAGATTTCAGATACGTTTTAGGTCACACTACATATGCATGTACAAGCATATATGTATATATATATATACACACACCCTTCTGGGTTTTCTTCTATTTTTCTTACGAGTTCTTGTTCTTGTTTATTTCTGCTTACCTCCATGGGCAAGTGGAACAGAATTCTTCCTCCGTAAGCCATACGTGTCGTAAGAGGTGACTAAAATGCCGGGAACAAGGGGCTAGTAACCCCTTCTCCTGTATATATTACTAATTGTAAAAGGAGAAACTTTTTTTTCTTTTGGGCCACCCCGCCTCGGTTGGATACGGCCGGTGCTTTGATTATATATATATATATATATATATATATATATATATATATATATATATATATATATATAACATGGCCGTTTCCCACCGAGGCAGGTTGACCTGAAAAAGAAACACTTTCACCATCATTCACACTTTCACTTTATTGCCAGAAGTGCGAAAATAAGACAGTTTAGATCTCTCTATACAGCAAATATCCCTAACCTCTCCTTCAGAATGCAGGCACTAAAACTATACATACACTACAGTTTAATTCAATCCTTAGACGACGTTTCGCCCACACAGTGGTCTTCATCAAGTCACAAACAGATCTACTGTGCGCGAGAAATATTGTCGGTAAAGGTTCCCAATATGCTGCGACTGTGTCTCCTTTACCATCATGTCGGTATTTTATACCACTTATCTCCATAGTAAAGTGGAAGCAATAGACAAATTGAAATCACCGGTTATAGATTTACTCTTGTGACAGATCCCTCATGATGTCAGAGATTAATGACCTTTCTGTGTATTCGTGTTGTGATCGTCAAGAGCAATTCCTTCGACACTTTTGGTGATATCTATGTGTATTCTCAAAAAAATAATGGTTACAGTTACTAGCAGTTACAAGAAGAAAATATAATGAGAATATACGTACTGTTGGGTCTATAATTATTATTATAATAAAAAAAGACGCGCGATAAGAAAAATTACATCATTGAATTATACGGGAAAAGATTAACCAGTATTTTCATGTAATTTAAAAGATTTAAAAAATCTAAGTTTTTTCGACTTGTGAACTAAATATTCTGAGTTACGTTTTATGGGCTTCCGGGAGAGATTAAATAACCCAAACTCTTCTTTAAGAAAAACTAATTTCGTATACAATGTTTTGGGAGGTGATAATATGTGTAATCTCTTAAGCTGAGATGGGACTTTGTTACAATGTTAATCCTTGTGATGGCGCCGTGAGAAAGATAAGGCATGTGCTAGGCGACTCTTACGAGCACCTGAATCTTGTGCTGGGTGAATCTTACGAACACCTGAATCTTGTCCTAGGAGCTTTGTCAAGCCGTTACACAAAGCTTCTGGAGAACGAAACGTTGTCACAACAAAATATCATTAGTTTCAAGTGTGGCTTTTTACCTAACAAGACGCACCTGAGGTGCGAGTGTAAGGGTAAGATCCCTCGGCTCTCATCTGGTGCTTCAGTAACCTGAATAAAATTCTCTGCCGGAATGCACGATGAGTTTTATGCGGTGGATGAGTAACTGTGTATGGTCTAACAAAACGGAAACTATCTTACCAGTACGTCAATACGTCTGCCACCATCCGACCGGCAGATCAACACGCCCTCCCTCATCAGGGCTACTCAGCAGTTATTTCACTGGAAGGATCAATACCATCTGGACTGAAGCTCTAGGTTAAAAGTAATACCCAGGGACCACGACGAAGGCGTCAGAAACCATAGACCCCGACGGAGCCACCTGAATAAAGGACGGCAACGCGAGAACCACACCAGTCAAAGTAACAGCACTAGAATGATTGATTTGGCCATCCCGAGCCAGATACCTTCTCAATTTATTAGTGCTACCGTCAGTCAATCAAAATTCTGTATACACGACCGACAGCCCAATTAAATCCATGTT